ATAGAAGATCTACATGGCAATAAAATGGACTTAATATTCTACCAATTAAATCTATCTAAAATTTTTACCCGTCACAATGCGTAAAATAATGTCATTACAAACCGATTTTTGTGAACAATGATCAATATTGAAAGAAGCGGTAATTAAAGCAAGACATATCTTCGAACGATATCCAAAATTCCATTGCGAATGCAATTTTATAGAGTGATATTGGGGCTTTGCAAAATGAGAGACCAGACGGTTATGCAGTTATAGTTTTATAGAATTGTTGAAACAAGTTCCGAAAGTTCTTATTAGCATTCCTATAACAACAATTCATAAGTTTGCATGCAAGTCGTGGAGGTACATGAACACATATGATAAGGGATTAGAGGGCAGGGCTGCCAAGTGGACAGTTAACAAATATAAATTGCACTGTCGTTTACCAGAGGGCATTGAAAAATTAATTAAATAAATATTTTGTAGTTAGTTATATAACTAGTCACAAATATAAAAATCGTTAAAAACAATATAGTAAATAAAATACTTAGCTTATAACATTGCTTCTTTCCACATGTTCAATAGAAGTTGGCTTAAATATTGGTATGCGTAAAGTTCAACATTGTCAATTGATCATCTTAAAATTCAGATCATTACTTGTTACACAAATATTTTTGGTCTTTATTGGTCGATTTTGATTCACGTGACTTGAGATTTTCGCAGAAAATTTGAAACAAAGTCATGTGATTTTTGAGTATAGATTTCTAGCACCATATGGCCATTCTTTTTACAGACTGAGCAAAGACGAACAATTCGTTTAACTGGTGTTTTTTGTACTATTTTTCTAATAGCTTTCTTTATAGCATTTGTATTTCTAACCTTTAATTCTGAAAAGGGATTCCTTATAATATGAGTCATTTTACGCTCTAGCCTTTTATCAAGATCATCATAAATAAAATGATCTAGAATAGCAACATCTGATGCTAGCCCTATATATTGCAAATCTCCTACAAGCTGTTTCATAAAAGTAATTGCTTTAAACCCTTCATCTAACGAATCTTTTTGTGGTTGAGTGCTAACTGGGGTGGAAGCTTGTATTCTTTTACCTGCACTTTCATGCTATTTATTACGCAACTCAGTAAAAAATGCATTGACGTAGCAGGGTTAGCAATTCTAACTCTCATTTCTAAATCAAAAGGCAAATGATTAAATAAATAAGATATGGCATCAGCATTTTGCATTGCTTATACTAATAGTTTGATTCATTTTTCATAACTATCTGGGATATCTGTTTCAAAGAATTTTCATTAACAAGAGCAAATATAACACTTCAGTTAGTCCCTACCATAACTTCTTTATATCTTTTACGCAACCAGGCTAGAAAAAGAGGTTCAGTATTAATAGGTAGATTACCTCTGGTGTAAGGATCATTAGCAGGAACAGGTACAAACCTTCCAGTCATCTTATTTCTCATAATATTGCTTCTTATTTGCGCATTAAACTTAGCGAACGCTAATGGATGTACCATTTCATTTATATTTCTAAGCTTTATAGTTCCTGGTGAAAAGAATAGCGGTGGAAGACTGCATCTATTTTTGGTTGCAATTTCACCACTTTCCGGATTTAGGCATTTATTTATATGCCCAAATCGGACATTGGAACCTGAATTAAAAAGGTAAGTTAAAAAAATAAGGTT